TGGGGAGGCAGTTATTGCTTGGAGGGAGAGTCCCCCTCCCTACAGGAAGCCATGACCACATGTCACGGCAGGGAAAATGGCCGCGGATTCTGTTCATCACCCGATGTGGAGTTCACGGACGGAAAATTTTGCGAACGGTGCTGTTCGTGACCCGAACTGGTCGTGAACAGAAGCGTTCGTGACCCGAGGTACCACTGTAGTTCTTTCTTCATTTAAAATTGTTGTTTTTCTTTACTATTGTTTATACTGCTTGAAAGCCACTTAGGAAATATTACTATCCTGTAATCATAATACATATATAAATATCCTAAACAGTCATAATAGTTGTATCTTGAAATAAAGAGTACCAAGCTTGCATGAAAGTCTGGTACTCCGAAGTAGCAAGGTAACCAAATGCTCATTTGATGAATATGCAACATCTAATTTGAAACTGAAGTTTAAAAGACCAGCAAAAGTACTTTTTTCCTTAAAAATCAGGTCCTATTTTTCAGTATCCAATGTATTCCCAAATAGGTGTGCATGAGTTGGACTGTTGCCACAGTTTATCATTTCAAGAAATTATACCTTTCTTGTGGAAAATGCCATTCTCTGAAAATATTTACATTTCACTGCCAAAGGTTCACCCCTTCTCTGTTTCACAGGCACTGAATTCCTTCCATGAGATTCTTTATTTATCATTCTTGCAATGTTAATAGTTGGTCAATATAGTTTTTAGGTGGGGAAAATATCCACTTTGTTGCTGAAGAGTAGGAGGACTCACTAGATGATTACTCGGCCAGAGATCAACCCATTTAATTTGTCATAGCATGCAAAAAACTAGGAGTAGATGTGCTACAGAAAATGCCTGAACCAAAAATAGTTCCAGATGGCTCAAACATATTACATGCCACCCACAATAAACCTGCAAATACACATACAGAGCAATGCATTAATGCCATTCGCCCAATGACATGTGTTATATCACAGCTTTAGCTGCCAAGCCATACTCTTTTCCTGTAAAAAAAGCCAGCAGACACCACTTATCTTATCAATATTGTTTCATATTAATACACTGTGTGTACATGCTCATTTTAAAATGGGCCAGATGTGATTATCTTAGCAACTCTCTCCCTCATCCTCTTTAGCTGCCACTGATGACTAATTAGCCAAGACAAAAAGAGGTGATAAGGGCAATAGATCATTATGCCTCATCTCAGGATACTTAGCGTGACAACAAAAGCCAAGGGAATTATTCTCCAGGTATATCAAGCTATTGTGTGCAGCATGAACACAGACATACATATGTAGAGCTGTCTGAGATCAGGATTCAAAGACCAAAAGGTGATTCAGAACATGCATAGGCTTGCTCATAGCATATACTGGAAGCATCATATATTTTCTTGGAATCATGCAACAGTTGCCTTTTAACCACAGGAAAAGATGCTACTGCTTTAAGGTGCTACATGTGCATCTTTACGTGCTCTGAATCAAAGTTTGCCGTTCAGATCTCTGTACAATCCTATTTATTCGTATATAAAGCCTTCTCTGAATGCACTGGGATTTATTTATTTGATTTCTCAAATCAAATCAAATCCATGACCCTGGGCAGCTAATGATATTAAAAATATTTAGCCACACTGTGGAGGGCTGCTGACTTGGAACTGCATCATAAAGTGTACTGCTATTCTTAGTGCAACTCAATTTTAGCAGAAACAAGACAATCTTCTTTCCATTTTAATTGCACTCCAGGAGTATGTGGATGTGTGTGTGAGAGTAGATTTATGATCATGTCATACTACTTTTTTTTCTGACTAAACAAAGGATTTCAGGGTCCATGGTTTATGCCAACAGGAAATTCACAAGCAGGTTCTCTTCCCATGTGCAGAAATAGGCTCACACAGGATCAAAATAAAACAAATGCAGACAATACTAATAGGATCCTTCATATTTTAAGTGTGTATCACCTAAACGAAATTCCTTACTGATTTTAGAGGAGTTTAACTGAGGCAAATGCCACCCTTAAAAATATGACTGCAATGTTTAAAATATATGAACTGAGATTCAGAAACTGAGTTATTTAACTTCTCTCAGAAACACATGTCCAAATTGTTTCACAGCAAACTGGATTTTTTGTTGTTAAAAAGCCCTGTGTGTTACTTCCTCTAGTTAAGTGTTATTTCCTCTAAAACATGGGGAAGCCAGTTGACGCAGTTCAATTTAGCTTACAACAGGCTGCAAAACGTATTCATCATTAGGAAGAGATGACTGGAGGGGATTAAACAGCTAAATTCCTACAGGAAGGACATCAATGACCAAGTCACCAAGCAGTATCCATACTAGAGGGAACCTCCATTCTGGGTTCACACAACATTTTTATACATGGTTACTCAACCATAGTTTACTAAATCCAATTTTCTGGATTAACATAATATACAGAAGAATGAGCTAACCACATGGACTGGATTTGTACAACATGCTAAGATGGCTAGTTTGCTTGTGGTCCATATACAGTGCAAACACAACCACTTTGTCAGTTTCCATTTACATCTGTGTATAGTTGCCATTCTAGCTGGAGAGGAAGCAGACATTTAATTATATCCCTTCAAAACCATGAGTGGCTATAGCTGACTAGCAACTCCTGATACATCATTGCTACCTGCTGATTTACCAGGTACTGAGCAGCTTGGGATAGACTGTTGATCCCACCATTATGGGACTGTTAGTTCTTCGAGGTAATCCAGACAAGAAGCATAACAATGAATACTAGCTCTATCTTTATTGTAAGGTTACACTAACAGAATCTTGCAAGGCTGAAAGTATTTCTCCTCCCCTCCCCCTTTTCCTTTTACTCTCTGGAAAACTAGGGAGAGTCCCTTCTGAAATGCTTCCCACATCCCCTCTCCTTCTGTGGTCTGAGATATCTTTTACATGCTGGTTGTCCAGCCTGTGGCTCTTCCTCTTCTCTCCCAAGGTCATTCCCACACACCATTACAAGGATAGAAAACAAAGGGCATAGGCATTTTAATCCATACTTCTAAATGTGTGCTTCATAGTTCTGGACTTGAACGTGCAAGAACCAGAGTGAAATCTCTGCTTAGCTAACCCCCTCCCCTCCACACATATTTTCTCTATATAGCTATCTCAAATCTAACCTAATTATATCAATTATATCATTTATCAAAAAATGAGAAGACACACTGAATTCCCCCGTCCCTAAACTAAACTAAACACATGTTAAAAACGGCATCCTTTCACCTTTCCATCCTGCTAAGACAGCAAAAGGACGACTGCGTGTAGTAAGGAATACATCATCTTCAGCAAAGGGTAAATGAATCTAAAATTGTAAGGCTACCATTAAAAGCAAAGGGCTGGGTAATAAAAAAGGAGAACCTTAACACAAAGACTTGACCTTTACAAGGAGACACAAGCATTGTAACTGAAAACATCCTAGTGAAATTCAAGTACAACAGGTGTCCTACCAAACAATGCAGCCATCCCACCCTTCCTTTCACCTGTTCTCCATGCGAGAGCAATCTCTCACATTGTTCTAACATCTGCACTGACTTCCTATTGTTTTCTACATGCAGCCCGAATGGCTGGTTTCAGTCCATCTCCAGAAAACTTCTGACAGCTGGGAATCATCACATTTTTATATTAGTCTAACATGGGCATCTAGAGAAAAGTTCGGTATGGATTTAGGTTTCAAACTGATTCTTCACTGGAAACAGTTTTGGTTTTATTTCTGGACAAACATTTTTTTGCCAGTTGCTAGCCAAAACATGCTTCGTGATGGTTGGGAGATTTTGTATAAAATAGGAAAGTGTTTTAGTGTTTTAGCCATGCTCTGTAAGACAAAAGCGTTTCAGGTAGCCTAGCAGGACAAATCCTCTGCTGAATATCTACAGAAGGGCTGCCAGGCAGAGTAGACAGACCTGATGTACTTGCATGAGTGTTTTAAGGCAGTGTTTCTCAATCTTGGCCACTTTAAGATGTGGGGAATGCTGGGAATTTTAGCCATGCTGGCTTGGGAATTGAAGTCCACGCATCTTAAAGTTGTCAAGGTTGAGAAACACTGTTTTAAGGTACCTTCATGTGCAACTTTATGCCACTGATTTATGTAGGATAAAAATGAACTGGGTCCTGATTTGGAACCTTTATTTTTCAATTTGTGCTAATGTAAAGTGTACAAGGTTCAATTTTATATGCAGTGGGGAGGCTTAAATCTCTCCCTATGGAAGCTACTTGTTTTTGACAAATGTTCCCCAGCACATATATGCAGGATACTTCAAAGCTTAAATTCAGGCTTAAAGTTCCTCTTCTGTGTAGTAAGGTTAATCAGGTCATGGTGACTTACGTGCCATAAATAAAGCATAGACAGAAGTCTATTTAATGTGTTCTTGGTTAGCCTTTAACAGTAGTTGCCTTGAAATCAATGGGATTAAAAGTCAGTCATAACAATCTTAGGTCTTGTCGATTTTAATAGGCCTAACTCAAAATAGAATTAAGTTGGGACCCATCAGTGGACATATTTTTCAGAATGGAAATAAATAAAAACCTTTTCCATAGGAGGGTAGGTAGAAATTCAAATGATAAAGCATTTTGTATTGCTACATTTCCAGGCCAAAATATCACATCAGTTACATTCTTACCTGACTCAACATAGAGCTATTATAAGTATAAAAGAGAAAATATATTTCGAGGGGCTAAAACTTAGAAAACCTGCCTTCATTAGACATAGTTCATATTTCATACCTGCTGCATTGGTTCTTCCTCTAAATACATCATCATAAGCTTTCCACTGAGGTGTCACTTGATAAACGTGGATGAATACCACAAATACTACCACCAGGCATACTAGTGGTACCAGGGCAGCAGTAAAAAGGGCTGCGTAAATATTTGGAATGAAGCACCTGAAAGGAAAAAAGAAAACACAGTCATTTTCAAATATTACAGGAACTTTGACTGGAGTGTGGAAGTCAAGATATCTAGCAAGCTACACTTGCTTTGTCTAACCACATGATTTCAAGAGTAAAAAAAAGAAATTCAAATGGTGTTTAATTATCTCATATATCATGAATTTATAAGAGACAGTGATTATCAGAATGGGATTAACCTTATCTTTTAGTATGATAAAAGTTTTTATAAATGTAGTTTGCCCAATTAGGAAAAAAAGCTGAACTCACACACAAAAATGCTATTTTTATGTTTATCTAATGCCAACTTTAGTAGCACTATTTTTTTTTTTAAAAAAAAGCATTTTCCTGTATGTAGCATTTGTTACCACATTCAGAATTTCTTTAAAACATATCTAAAGACAAAAAATGACTGGCGTATAATGAAAGGTTCTATTCTAGGTAAAACAATTGTAGGTTTCCTTTTGTAATTCCCCTCCCTCTCATTATCTTTCCTCTTTGGTGGGAGAAGTGGATAGGGCTAGACCTCACCCATTCAGAAACCAAAGCACAGCTGAAATCTATTAATACTTGCCTCCTGTAAACCCAATTGTGGTGGGTTCTTTGGATGTAAATCAATGAACATTGCATTAGTCCAGGAATATTATATATTCTACAAAAATGTACTGTTCAATTACTTCACCAGAATACTTTTAACTCTTATTTATATAGTTAAAATATAGAATGCCAATAGCAACATTATTTGGCTCACAAGACATATTTCTGTTTAAAGAACTTTTGATCTGAGTTGATCTGAGCTGAGGCACAGCAGGTTTTTCTAACTTGAACATAGATGTATCAACCTCTGACTCCTTCCCAACTTTAATAGCCAATTGCCTCGCATTCACCCTTTCAAATCAGAAAGGAAAATAAGCCATTAGCACGTTCTAGCACCCCCACTGTTGTCCTTTTGTACGTTCATTGGATAATAAAAATGTTGTATCTCAACAAAGTGTTCAGAAATATCTCCCCACTGTTTAATTCTGACTAATTATGAGCAATATTGTATGATCAGTAAAAACTTTCTTATTTGGGACTCTGTAAGAGCAAACATTTCCATTCAAAAATTCTATCAAGATGCTTCTCTTTTGCCATTAATTTCTGTCTATCCACACTTTCATGGAAACACACAACCACTGGATTTTAGCTTCTTGGAAGATTAAGATTGAATATTGATAAGCAGATTTGAAAAACAAGTATCATTGCCAGCATCATCTTTACTATTTCTAATGAGTACAACTAGAAGTTGAAGTCTAGTTCTGAACTGTTAAACAAAACATCATGAAACACCATCCTTTGTGCTTTCATTTCTGAAATGATTTATTTCAAGGAGATTTATAGTATAAATTTGTATTTCAAAATGTATGATGTGCATCTGCCGATTTTTCTACTTTCAGAATACAAGAATGAGAGAAAAAGTAGATATAAAAATATTACTGTACTAATTAAACATATAATTCTTTCACTTTGGTACATCCACCTATTTCACAGAAGGATCTGAGCTATCTTGGCAGCAAGTTATATGCTAAGGCTGGGCATGCCCTATGGGAAAGAGGGGAACTTGTACTGCTCAGAATCTTTATTTAGTTATGGGATTTGTATCCTACCCATTTAAAACAATACTTTGGCTGGATAACAGTTAACAGAGTAACTAACAATAGCTTAAAAGAACATTAAATGTAAATTAGAAAGTATTAAAATTAAATTATAATAAAATTAAACTAATGTAAAAAATTAAAATAAGATAAAGATAAAGCAGGGTTGAAACCAGCAGTGTGCTCATTAGTCCTTATGCACCCAATACCCCCCAGAATCACCATGTTTTTACAACTTTTTCAAAAATCAGCAGTATATTCCAAAGGGATGGGGCCACGCTGAGATCTGCCTCCAGAATTGGAAAAGCCAGCTTTCTAGCCAGTGCAAAGCTCAGTGGCCACCACAGGATTACATCACTTGCCAGAATTAATTTTTTATAATGGATGATAATTAGCTCTCTTATGAAAGTGATCCAAGTTAACCTTCTATTTTTCTCTACTAATGTAAGTCTCAATGGACTGCATGTAACTCTCAAGTGCTGTTAATCTGCACACATGAAAAATATATTGAGCACATGCTTGGTTCAGTATGACTTTAACTAGATTTATGTGAAACATTTTAGAAGGGAGGGAGGGAGGGAGGAAGGAAACCCTGTCATACATAGAAGACTAAGTTCAGTCGTCATCTATGGAACCCAAGCTTTCATCTGCAATAATTTATATTATTGTATCTCTGCAGTGCAGAGATATAGCAATGTCTGTAGTGCTGCCAATGGTGTTATTTTGTTGGGGCAGCACACAGAGATGAAATGTGGATAAGCGTGAAGTCTATTACTTGGCACACTTTTACTATTGCAAATATAGCGACTAGGACTCTGCTGCTTTGGCTGAAACAGATTAAGATAGGCTCTAAAGAAAGAGAATGATGACGTCCAAATATTCTGCAGACAATTAAGAATTTCCTGCTTGTCAGGGACCAAGCATATTGTTTTAGAGAGCTGATCTTATGAATTTATTGCACCTTATAATTTCAAGTAGTGTATAATAATAGGTAGTACTATTGGTTGAAAGAAAAAACAGATTATTTTGATGCTCTGGCAGCTGTCACTGTGACTATATATATATATATACTCCAGCAGGGCTCTATTGGATCTGTCATATAGTATGTCTCTTTTATGCATATCCTGCTTTAAGCCTGCTTTGTGCACGCACATCCACGTGTGTGTGCGCACGCGCATGACTTTTCAAACCTTATCTCCTGTTCCTGCGTGGGCCTTTCCTTCCTATTTGCAGTGTCAGTTGTACATTGTCTCTCCCATTGCATGCCAAACCCCTGACCTGATTGTGCTGCTCAGTGAGGAGTGCAGACAACTTGTAATGAACACATGCTATTTGCATGCCTGTTTGTTTTGTTCTTGTGGTTTCCTTTACTGACCACAGATTAAAGTTGGGAGCTGTGTAGGATGTGATACTTTCAGCAGAATTATCAAAGTTTTAGTGATTCTGTTTAAATAATAGTTTTATAATATGAAAATAGGTTTCTTCTTCTTCTTTTTGTTTTGAGCACATATAGACGAGTGTTAAAGCAGTTACCACAATATGTCTTACAACACAGTATCTCAGAATGCAATACAGTGGTTTGTTCAACTGTAAATAGCCTGAAATCTTCCATTTAAAGACTGCAGCAGAGACCTGAACCAAGGTCCTCTTATCAAAAGAGCTACATCTGTTTTTTTCCAGCTGATGGACAGGAAGTAAGAGATACACACTAAACTAAAAGTAAAGGCTGATGAACAAACATTTCCTATTGGCTGTTTGTACTGCACACTGTTGCTGGGCAAATACTAATACAAATATCAATACAAATGCTTGAGGTTCCCATTGATTCAGATGTTAGCTGGTTTGCTCTGAAAATAGGGAAACAGTTGTGGCTGCTAAAATTATGGCAGGTTGTTAGTAATTAGATTAATTACACCTTTTTATTTTGTTATAAATACAATTAACAATTTATAAATGCTTGCTTGCTCTCAGAAGGACTGTACAGACATCATACATCTGTCTAGTTGATGCTGCCATGTTTCCCAAGAATTAGTTTAATTACTGCAGTTACTGAGAAAGTTATTTTTCCCCAAATAATCACCAAAGAGTAGACACTGGTGTTATGGACAGGTATTGAATGGTATAATGACCAATAGTTACTTCCTGTCAGATCAACAATTCCTTCCCCACTTTATCTTTGAACTTTCTGAAAAAAAAAATTTCTATGACTAGTATATTCATATTCACAAAGGAAAACTGTGAATAGATGAAAGTATTACATTTGTTTGATTGCACGATTTGTATCAGCAGTGAAGGTTGGAGCATGGCAGGAAACATGATCCCACTCCTTATCCTCAGTGAACACCTCTTTGTATGAACAGAGCTTATATATTTGCCTTGGCAAGAGAAGTACATAATTCTCCCCCCACTTCAAATACATGGGACTGGAAATTTCACATGATGTGGCTATGATACCAGTAGAGATCTGATACTTCCCCGGGACAGTGTAAACTGCCCTGAAAAACTCTCAAAGTAGTTAAAGAGCTATACATTTATTATAGCTAAAGTGTGTACTGATTTTTTACTTAAAGCTCATAAGGCGTGTTGCTAGGAATGGAAGAAAACTAAAAGTATTTCATTGAGATTAGCAAAATTCCCTCCTGGAGTTTCCCATTTCTCTTACCAAAGGTTTATATCAAAATTATAGGAACAAATCCAGTGCCAGAGTTGTAAGCTATCCAAGTCCTGAAGCAAAGTAAAAGATTTTGTGTTGTTAGTCAAGATCTCTGTACTGAACTTACATATTAATATCTTTTAATACGGACAGAAGATAAATGGTGAATATACTTGACAGAACAAAACCAGTTAGTAGAACACATATATGAAATTCCCTTGATACTTTGGATATTTTTTTTTCAGGAAACATTTTAATAGCAGGAAGTCTTACTTTAGAATATTGAGGAAGGGAGATTCCCTAGATCAGATTAATTACTGATGATTGAGATGAAAAATGGAATTAGACTAGTACTTTTTCAAACTGATGTCTTTGGGATACTTTGGAACTACCATTCCCCAAATGCTCAGCATGGCAAATGCCTATGCTGGAGGACACTAGTTTGATGTACCTTCCACAGCCAGGATGGCTAATAGTGAGGGAGCTATAATTAGAATTATTATAATTCTAATAATTCTGTCATTCAGAAAAAACTGGCTTTCCTCATTCCAAGCTTAAAAGAATTCTAACCGTAACCCTAAATTGTAAGCAATCTCAATGTATCTAGAGCAGGAGTGGGCATCCAAGACCCCTTTCAAAAGTGTCTGCACGTATCCGTTGAGAGCACTGGGTAGAGTATTCTATCCAACGGGATGCAAAGATGCAGAAGA